GTCAGGAACGGGACGGGTGGGAGGGGCTTGGGTCTTCTAGGAGGCTCCGCAGCTCCTGGGAAAGTTCACCTCAATGAACGATGAGAGCTCCAGCAGCGTAACTCACAGAGCTGTCCGACCAGTTTCGGCACTGGCTCGACTGCGCATAGTTTAGGAAAGAGAAGTTCATGTCTATGCCGTTCTTTTTCAGTTCCGCCACGGCCTGATGGAGTGAAGAGAATCAATGGAGAGTCAACACTAAAGAGATGCTTTTAGACTTACAACGGTAATCTTAAAAAGCTTCATAATGAAAGAGCGGGTAGTTAGCAAGACATTAGTTAGGGGGGGAAAAAGGACATTAATAAAAGCTCTGCGACAGTTAAGTGCTAGGCTAATTACCATGCTTACGGACTGTCCATTATTTGCATTACTTTGCTTTTGCTTTGAGTCAACAGCAGTTTACTAAATAAAATGTCCTGGGGGAAATTCATATAGTCGTTCATATGAATCATTCATTAGGTACTTACATTTAGAAGAACGCCAATGGGATGGCGACCACAAATAGTATTATGATATTTCTTCAAATAATTGCTAAAGGAGATGGGGTCCAACTGTTCTATAATTCCCATTCCCTAAAAAAATTAAGGAAATTAACATGCATACATTTCACTGACATCAACAAAACTCTCATTACTGGCATTAATAATGTTGTAATTTTTATTTTAGTTTTATTTTTGACTCTATACTTGGATTTGACATTTGGTGTAGTTTAAACACGGTCCTTGTCCAGTAAATTACCATACAGAGGCAAAAGTACTTTGCCCAGTTGGTAAGCCTTTAATGAGGTTTGGGTTGCTAAGAACATCTGCTATTTGACAGACTGTCATGGGTGGAATGTATTAAAGTCAGTCTTTGAATCAGGGTTGCTAAGAAAATCTGCTATTTGACAGACTGTCATGGGTGGAATGTATTAAAGTCAGTCTTTGAATCACCGACTACCACAGTAACCATAACAATGACTCTTTAGCTTGGAGAAAAATTCCTTTTTTTTCTAGAACCACCAATAGGATTAGCACATTGTGTATCCCAAACCAGAATGGGCCACTTGCATGTAAGCCTCATATGTCAGACATTACGTGAGTTACCAGGAGCAAAGGGGAATAGAAACAGGTTTACCATTTTGTCAAGGTGCTCGATAGATCTGTAGATCTCTCCTTGACTTTCATCGTAGTAGGTGTAACGGAAACGTTGACCTGTAGAATATATGAAAAAGTTCAAATTAAACATTTAACTAGAGGCGGCACCAAAAAAAACTTCATTAGGGATATTTGTATGGGTTCCAACTTCCTACCTATTTAAAGCATTCAAAAACACTCACTTAATAGGTTTAACTTTAATTAGGATGCTGCCATAGAAGTCTATGCTGCCTATGTAGGCAGAAGGCAGCTTTTGTTTCTGGCAAGTCACATTGAAGGAGAGCGTGAGCGTGGAGAGAATGTCTGTGATGCCGACATGATGTGGATGAGAAATGAAAGCATGTGTATCTTCTTTACCAGATTCATGCTGCTTTTGTTATCATTAGTTTGAGCAACATTTGATTTAGGGTGGTTAACAAGAATTTTGCCTTCCCCCATTTTTTTTGCATAATTCCAAAAAAAGTATAGTATAATAATACTTAACCAATGTCACGCCTTTACACTCCGATTACTGGACATTTTGTATATACAGTGGTGTGAAAAAGTGTTGGCCCCCTTCCTGATTTCTTTTTTTTGTTGCATGTTTGTCACACTTTAATGTTTCAGATCAAACTAATTTAAATATTAGTAAAAGATAACACGAGTGAACACAACATGCAGTTTTTAAATGAAGGTTTTTATTATTAAGGGAAAACAAAATCCAAAACTACATGGCCCTGTGTGAAAAAGCGTTTGCCCCCTAAACCTAATAACTGGTTGGGCCACCCTTAGCAGCAACAACTGATATATATATATGTGTGTGTGTGTGTGTGTATATAGTATGCATAAATATGCATGTACAGTTATGTATATATGACAAAACTGATGCGTACTGAATAAAAAGTTGATGACAAAAAAAATTTGTCATCAATACGAGAACTACCGAAAGTCATGTGACCCAACATGGTGACTAGTGCCAGAACTAAATAACCAATCGGTGCAAACCCTAATAGATTTACTGTTGGCAAAATGTCAGCATCTTGTCAGCAATACATCTAATTTCAACAAACAGGAAATTCGTCATCTGACATTCGTCTGACTATAATTGATATGAACTATTTTCTGGTTTTTGACAGTTGAAAAATTAAAAGTGTGTGAGTGGACACAAACCCCAGTGGCAGAAGTCAGAGGAGATAATGAAAAGATTAGAAGGATCAGCCAGGTATTTGCTAAGCAGCTTGCCATATTCCTGCTCTTTAGATTCACTCAGAGCTCCCACCAGCACAGGGACGATGCTGAACTCATCTTTATGGCTGTTTTTGAAAACAAAGCACAGAACAGAATCATGTGTCAAGTCCCAGATGGAGATTTGACATTTGCATCTTTATAAATATTCTTTTGTCAATGAGTTTTGCATCACTTATTAAAATCCATGGCCATGTCAAATCAATAGCTCTGTAAAGAATTTCAGTTTCCCAAATTGCTGAGATGTGAGAATAAAACGTGATGCAAAAAAAAAAAAAAAGGCTGAAAACCTTTAGAAATATTACAGTTGCGCAGCAACTAATTGCTCTGCTTGGGAAAAAAAATAATACCCAAATGTCTAATCAAACAAATTGAGGGGATGTTAATTTCCTATGCCCATATACTGAAATGTTTTAATGGAATAATAGAAGTGGTTGGTGGCTCCTGCATTAATATAAAAAAACACACACACAACACCACAACAATAACAAAACAACAGAACATCCATCACGGCAAACTAATTAGAGGCACCACACTAGGTAAACAGATCCTGACAACATAATTAGTGGATCTGGCAGAGATGAATGAGCATGAGAGTGTGACTATGGGTCAATAATGCTGTTCATGGCCTCTGCATAGAGATGAGGTGAAACCTTGATATATCCTTCTTCCTTCTCTTTACATTTACATTTTTTCCCTGGGCAGATTCTGTCCTACACAAGGACGTGTATGTCTTATAGAGAGACTACAGCAGGTAGCCACATAAGATAATCAGAGGAAACCACAAAGGGCTATAGCATATCATATGTTGTTATGCCATAATGCAACACTGACACAAGGTTAAAAAGCAAAAGGTGAGACTTTGCATGTAACACCTATGATGATGTTATACATGTACATTTGTCAAGTACCACTAAAACTCTTGGTTCCTTCAGAGAATACGTCTGTAAGATTTTATGATTTTGAAAGAAGTCTCTTATGCTCACCAAGGTTACATTCACTTAAAAACAGTAAATAAAAAAAATGAAGTAATACTAACAGTAAATTAAATTAAATAGTAAATTAAATTAAACAGTAATACTGTGAAATATTATTACAATTAAGAATAACTGCATTATATTTAAGTACATTTTACAATGTATTTTATTCCTGTGATGACAAAGCAGACTTTTTAGCAGCCATTACTCCAGTCTTTAGTGTCACATGATCCTTCAGAAATAATGCTAATATGCTGATTTAGTGCTCAAATTTGTCAGAATAATCAGTATTGAAAACAGTATTAACATGGTGTTGGATTTAAGTTAAAAAAAAAATATATATATATATATATGAAATATATATTTTTGTAACAATGTAAAATTCTTTACTGTCACATTTAACAATTTAAGTATTAAATTCTAAGTGTTATCTTCTTTCAAAAAACAAAACAAAAAAATATTTTGAATGGTAGTGTTCATGCTTCAAGTATTGAGTCTTCCCAGAATCTGAGACATTCAGTGGATAATTCATGTTGTCCCAAACCTGTATGACTGACTTTCATCAGTGGAACACAAAAATGTTTCTGATATTTTGAAGATCTTGTGCACATAATGGAAGTCTATTAAGGTCTACATAATGGAAGTCAGTAGGGTCCAAAACAACACTCAACCACCTTTGACTTTCATCGTATGGAGAAAAAAAAAAGAGAAAACAGATAATTTGTAAAGTATCTTCTTTTGTGTTCCACAACATCATGGTGAGTACATGATCACAGAATTTCCATTTTTGGGTGAACTGTTCCCTTAACGGTCCAGATGAAGATGTTCAATATCTGGTTGTTACCTCTCCATGGCTTTAGCGGTATAAGGCAGGTGCATTTCAATGCTGTGTTCGTCTTCATCTGTCTGCAGACTCATCCTCTCAAACATGCCTGTTTTCCACAGATCAGCATAAACTGCCAGAGAAAGAGATGGGGCAGGGAGAATTAAAGCCCTTGTGTTTTGAACTGAGGAGCTACAAAGATAATTACACAAAGCCTCATTAATATGAACATCATCAAATAAAAGATTCTCATATTTGTGTTGCACATTTGTCATGTTTATAGCCACAAAACTATCGCATAATAACAAATTTAGTCATTTACAACTTGGAAAATGTTGCAATCTCTTCTGCAAAGCTCCGTTTGAGAGCAAAGGAGCCAGATATTTAAAAAAAGATATTTTGGGCGACACCTTTCTGTGTACTGTTATTCAATCAGCATTTAATCCTGCCAAGGTAGGAAATGAGATTGCTTACCCTTCTGGTCGATCCTCAGGTCGTACAGTGGCGTTCTGTAGACCTCGGCGGGGGAGAGGGCACAGCGAGACAGCGGCACATGGTGAGAGGGGCCGAGTATGAACACCCTCCGACTGATGCATAAGAGAGCGCTGCAGTTACCTCTCTCCCCACGGAAAACCCAACATTATGGCTACTTCAAGAGAATTTAAAGAAGCTCTGATGACAGGAAGGATACTTACGTGATGGAGGGGTCCACCTGCTTGTAGGCGTGGGCGGCACACGCGCCACAGTAAGTGTAGCCAGCGTGCCTGCAAAAGACAGTGGTTTTAGAATGCAGAATCACAACTGAAACAGAAGGAAAAAAAAGATGCTTGTCTGCTTTCACTCCACATACGGTGCTATAATGGCTCTAGCTGGACCAGCTGTAGATTGTGCTTGAGATAACCAGCCCTCGAGTTGTGCGTTAAGCTGGGATCCTAATTGTAAAGACAGGAAAATGTCATTAGGAAATATGAGAGAAGCAGACATAATTTTACAACTTTTAAACTTCAGCTGGGAAGATTATTTGAACGTCTTCCAAATGTATTTTGTACAGTATCAATTTCACCATGTAGAAATATTTTTGAAGCATGACAAGTTTATAATCTATTAATTATATATTACCGCAAAATATTGCAGACAAAGAAAATTAAGCCTATTTTAGCATAATTATGATTTTTATGCATTATTTTCATGACAAATATTGTGTAAAACAAATGTTCAGGTAGACTCGTAAGAAAGCAGTCGCTCTTTTGCTGTTATTTAAAAATAGCACTATGAAAATGTGCTTATTTGTCATTAAGCACATTTTCATCCCTAATGTTCATTGTTGTAATGCAACAACAAAAAAATTCGCTACATGCTAAAAGATTTTATAATCAAGCATTCATCAATGGATTTCTCTATTTCTAATTATAAATCAGTCAAACAAACAATGACTCGGTAGGTGAAATGGCTGTCCTGAATGTTGATTTCAGCAATATTTCAGCCTCAGACAGAGCCGTTGTCCCAGTCCTAATGACTTTCTTATCAGAGTATGACAGGACAAGGTAACATTTTTGAGAACCAGTGAACAGATGAAGTTCAGCTGATTCTGTAAAAGGAATAATAAGAATACAACTAATTGGGTCAAATTTTAGCAGTTGTTAATCAGATCTCTACACTGTAATGAATCATACCATTACATCACTAATGATATTCCAAAGAGCAGCCAGGTCTGACTATTCATGCATGTGCAAATGCATTCATTTTAGTGTCTGACTGACATGGCTTTGTATGGCTGATGCATATATTAATATATAGAAAGTTAGGTGGTTGAATGTGGTGATAGTGCTGATTTTATATAATGCAGTGTAAGAGATCATTTATATAATTGATTCTAGCACATATAAAGAATACATCTAAAATATATGGGTTTTAAAAATGGTCAATTATATTAGTCTAGAACATATGAGGAATACCAATATAGCAGTATCAAACATATATATAATACAGGTATAAATCAAAATTGAATATATAAATATATAATTGCCATTATTCATCGACTTTGTACAATTTGTCCAACTGAACTGACACACCTGTTAACTGGCCAGAGTTATCATTGCCAGATGAATAATAACTAGTCATGATCTGAAAACTGTAACTAAAGACATAAAAGTCATGTATGTCACATATGGTACAGTTACTCCGTGTGGGGAAAAGCATCAACAAAACACCAGAAGCCACCACACTAAAAAAAAAAGTGTGTGTTTCGGACAAAACACGAGCTCTAATGATGGTGACAGCATGCAGAATGCAGATCCTCATGTAAAGGCCAGCAGACTAGCTTCTGTACAGTGTAAGTATATGTTATCTAGTGTGTGTGTGTGTAGCAATAGGCTTTTGTTACTGCATGAGAGAAGAAGAAGAAAATACCACTGGCCTTCTAAAGACTTTCATGTGCTGACTGTGCTCCCTGTATTAACTGGAATGGAACAGGACATAAATGCTGACCAATATAACAATAAACACAGCATTACTTGACATCAATATTAATGAAAAACCAGGTTTTATTCTCCATAAAACACAGCTGTCATGTACAGCTGTCATACGAACTTAATTAAATAGCTTTAGCCGTTAGCAGGGTAAGTCCAGCCTTCTGAACGGCGACAGAAGTTTATCTATCTGGATTTACTGATCCGGAAAAGTAGGGCTGGATAACGTTAGCGTGGATGGTATATTAATCTGTGGTATTAGTTTGCGTGGTTGGCGTGTATGGAAGATTCACACACACCGGCTATAGGCTAACCAGCTAACTGTTGGTCTGTTTTTGTTCTCAGCTGCTATTACACACAGAGAAGCTACACATTAACAATAGAAACACAAAAATATACAACAACAGGCAAATCTGAGAGAAACACACAGTCTGGTCAATTTAAATAAAATTTAAAATTTAATTGGTTCTAGTTTGCTCATTGAAAAGCCGAAATAATTATTCAAAATCATTTTTAACATTTGAAGTAATTCATGAAATAATCATCTACATGCCAAGACAAATTAAATTAGATTTTTTTGACCGAGGACCACTTTTTTCTAGATATAGATTAATTTCTGAGCAGAATTAAATCGCTTTAAAGTTATTTTCTAACAAAAATAAAGCTGATATGTTTTAGTTAGCATTTTCAATAAAGTTAGTTAGTTTTTAAAAGACCATCAGTTCAGAAAAAGGTACAAAAATAAAGAAACTCGTCCTGTTGTCTTTAAACCATTTTAGGCACAGCTATTTAATAATTCCCAGCTGATCGCACAGGTTCTGTCAAAAAAACAATGTGAGCTGCCTACCTAGGCAGCACTTTTGAGCGTACTGAACGTCCCAAAATGCTGTCTAGATAGACAGCTCACTAGGTTTTGAGACACTGCCAGACTCACACACACACACACACTCGTGTCAGCAGCACACCGGACCTCAGGCCCGGGCTGCTCTCGGGTCTCTGGCTCTACCTGAGGCCGTGTACCAGCTGCCGGCGTGGCTCGCTTCTCTGCACACCATCCGGTTCGACATCTTGGTGCCCGCGCCGCCTATCTTGGTCCAATAAAACCTCGTCGGTGGGGGGTGGGGGGGAGAATGAACTAAAAACACTAAGAAAATATGCTAGCTCAAAAAGTATATGCCTGTGCTGAAACTGCGTGCCCAGTGAAGGAGTATTTTATATAATCTTGATATAAATGTGAGACATATAAGTAACGATACGCAAATATATAAAGAGGTTGAGGGCTGAGGCTGTGAAGAACAAAGATCCGTCCAGTTCATCCGCTCGCTGCCAAGTTTGTCTCTGTTATCCGGATGGGCTAGTTTGGCCCATCTCGGCTTCCGTTCTGTCAGAAAAACTGGGCGGGGAGAGTTGATTGACTGACTAAAGCGAAAGAATAATTGGTCGCTTAGGATCAGGGGCGTTTCCAAAGAGATGCATATGTAGATAACGCTTTTATGATTGGATAGCTCAGTGTGTTTGGCTAAAACTCATTGGCGGAAAATAGATGTGGGCGTGTATTCAAAGATCGTTTTGTTGGTGAAAACATTTAGCTTTTGTAACATTCACATAGGATTAAAGACACTTTTGGTGTTGAAGAAATGTACGATTTTCAATAAAACCTCGTCGGTGGGGGGTGGGGGGGAGAATGAACTAAAAACACTAAGAAAATATGCTAGCTCAAAAAGTATATGCCTGTGCTGAAACTGCGTGCCCAGTGAAGGAGTATTTTATATAATCTTGATATAAATGTGAGACATATAAGTAACGATACGCAAATATATAAAGAGGTTGAGGGCTGAGGCTGTGAAGAACAAAGATCCGTCCAGTTCATCCGCTCGCTGCCAAGTTTGTCTCTGTTATCCGGATGGGCTAGTTTGGCCCATCTCGGCTTCCGTTCTGTCAGAAAAACTGGGCGGGGAGAGTTGATTGACTGACTAAAGCGAAAGAATAATTGGTCGCTTAGGATCAGGGGCGTTTCCAAAGAGATGCATATGTAGATAACGCTTTTATGATTGGATAGCTCAGTGTGTTTGGCTAAAACTCATTGGCGGAAAATAGATGTGGGCGTGTATTCAAAGATCGTTTTGTTGGTGAAAACATTTAGCTTTTGTAACATTCACATAGGATTAAAGACACTTTTGGTGTTGAAGAAATGTACGATTTTTTAAGTGAAACGATAGAAGAGTGATTGTGTCTTTTGTTTTATGATTGTCAAATTGCACACTTTGGAAAAATTTCACATCTCTTTTATATAACTGACAGTAAAAGACGTCGTTTGTTATTGTGAACAAAATAAAAAGCATTGACAACATGCTAAAACTTATAATTTTTTATTCACAAATGTATGATATCTAAATCTATCCTATTTTATAAGGATTTTTGTTATGAGCTTCGGTTAAAACACAGATATACAATAACCTAACTAGACAAAATCTGTATATTCTTTACAAGAGCATCTGTTCATCGTCGACGTCCGTCATCGTTTAATTTTATATATATATATATATATATATATATGTGTGTGTGTGTGTGTGTGTGTGTTCTCTGTAACTCGATTTCAATGTACATTCTGACTGACTGCAGTTTACCACCAGAGGGCATCGTTGCATAAAAAATTACCTGCCCTTTTTTACTGGTATAGTCGGACAGTTTGTGCAGAACAAGTTTGTTTAAATAATAAATCAGGTAACAGATCTGCTGCGCTACGAATAATACGGATGTATCCAAGTAAAATCAATCAGTCGGGTCGTCAGCTATTTGTCTTTATATCAGATTTTAACAACATTCATTGTTTTTATAGACATTAAATTATATTTGCAGTAAGCCAGAGACACAAAACTTCCACAATTCGTACATCGTGTCAGAATGTACTCTTTTCGCTGTACACTGTACTTACAAAATAAATCAATAAACAAATAAAATCGTCCAAACAAGCAAAACAAAAGCACAAGACTTTAGAGACTTTGGTACACACGTTAGCAATTGTCCCTTCTGGTGTGCCGTCCCGTTCCGTTTCCAAAGCAACAAGGACGCAATAACTGCTGGGTTACAGACCAAAAAACTGAAGTTTCATTTACTAACTCTACATACAGTATAATTATATATGGGTTGCATTTGTAAAACTTTAACAGCAATACATTTTACGTTCAGGTAATGAATGGAATACTTTTGCAGCTGATGTCATTGGCACATTCCACAAAACCGTAGGGCTAGTTTTCAACAGATGGGCAGTAAAAAAGCAGGTGGGTAACCGTCAGACGACCTGCGGATTCGTCTTAACTGTGCCAGTTTGATGTCATCTTGACCTGCTAAACATTTAAGCATGGTTTTCTATTTAGATTTTCTCATTGTGTGTTGTTACAGGGGATTATTGGTGACTCCATGGCTGCTGTGCAGTATTTTATTGAGAGGTTCTCTGTGACTTGCAACAAGCCAGTGTCCCACCTGCAGCTGGCCTGCTGTCCATCTCACTGTGCTGTCCCATGGCAGGACAAGAGTATAAGGATTTACGAAAACAACAACCTGGAGGTCTTTGTCTATTTTCAACAAACAAATATATATAATTACTGTCAATTGATTGAAAAAATGAACTAATTAATCACACATTTTGCTGTAATCAATTGCATCTAACACTAAAATGATATATTTTCACATTTAATTTCCAAGTTAATGTAGAAAAAAACAGTGTATTTTAAATATTTATTTAATGGCATCTTTTTACTATGAATTATGAATGAAGGCAAGTACCACCAAAACCATATTAATGTATCTGTTTGTTTTTTGTTTTGTTTTTAATCAATTTCCGGGGATAAAATGAGTAAATATAGCCATTTAGCTTTACAGTGTTTGTGCCATCATTTCTTTTCTCTTTTTTTTTTCTTTTTTATTATGCAAGTAAAGATTGTGACAATATTTACATGTGTCAAGTACAGGACAAACAAACATATATACTAACAGCCAGCATTGCAAGTCTATTCTGACAACTCCTGTATGTGTTTTCTTGAGTCTGTAAGCGTGTGTGTGTCTGTGTGTGTGTGCGCGTTTTTGTGACAAATGAGGACATACATTTGTATAATGACAAAGGTATGACATAGGTATTACAAGGAGAAGGTGACTTTTCAGGACATTACCCCATGCCCCCACTTTTCAAAACGCTTATAAATCACACAGAATGGAGTGTATTGAAAATCTGAAATAGCACAAAGTTTCATGTAAGGGGTAGGTTTAGGTGTAGGGTTGGTGTAGGGCAATAGAATATACGGTCTGTAAAAACCATTACGCCTAGTGTGTGTGTGTGTGCGCGCATGTGTGAGTGTATCTAGGAGTGGGAGGAAACGGATAAATCAGAGATGATTGTGCCATCATTTCTAATATTTAATAGAACTAAATTGTTACAGAACAAAAATATATAAATGTAATTTTAATGTTTCCTGTAGCCTCCCTTGGAACTCACTGGTCACCATGGCGATGTGTCTGCCATGGTGTTTGGGACTTTGAGAGATCGTCTCGTCCTCTGTAGTGCTTCTGAAGATTATGTTATCGTCTGGGACATTGATCGCTGCTACAGACAGATCAAAGAAGGTAATAATGCATGCAAAGACCTTGAAAAACAGACTGAAAAAATCTGCTCGTCTGCAGAGCATATAAAACTGTGACACTTAAGAATGCTCTACTCTGGAATAGAATGTAGCCACTGTTCTCTGTCAGTCACTTTTTTGTCTCATCTCCCAAACATGACATCTGTGTTCCAGGTGTAATTGCCTCAGGTAGAGTTGTTGGCACATTGCTCGGCAAGGTGGAGCATCTGTCACTGTGTCCACTGAGCGCAAAATTGGCCGCATGCTCAGGCTCCAGAGTGTTTCTATTGAATGCAGAGGTATGAATGAAATAAGATACACACGATTTTTATTCAGTGAATCGAAAACAAAAGCAGTTATGCTGAAACAGTAAAAAGGAAACAAATGCCTTTTTTGACCCGTCTCCAGATGAAATGTGAACAAAGTCTGCAATGGAGAACATTCCATTACCCAGACTGTGATTGACCAACCCATAAAAATGAGAGATAGCATTGAAATACTCACAGGAAACCAGCAGAAAAAAATCACAATAAGCCCCTTGTTGGCTTCTGTCTTGTATATCAGAAATAAACGGTCATATCACATTCAAACAGTATTTGTCTGCTTAAGCCACACTTAAACTTAAGAACATCTTTGCATTATGTAATAAAACACGTTTCAATTAAATTATAAAACAATTAACATATTTCTAAATAAAGACCCAAAACTTGGGGCCACTGTATATGTGTTTCCTATAGAGAGAGGATGTGTTGGGATTTTTGAAAGCTCATCTTGGTCCTGTGACTGCATCAGAGTTCTGTCAATGGGACGTTAATCTTCTCATCTCAATCTCAGAAGACAGAACATTTAAGGTACAGATACGATACAAACCCAAACCAGGACACCCTGACTGTACCTGTCCTAAATATGGACATGTGTTTGTTGTATTACTGTTCAAACATTTGGGGTGAGTATGATATAAATGTAAGATATATATTTTATATATACTGTAGATATATATGCGTATGACTTCTTTTTCTTTTTTGTATTAGATTTGGGATGTGAAGAAGGGAGATATACTCTTTGAATCTGCTGTCCTGTCAGGTCAGTTTATAGTTATTAACACCAATATTTATACAACAGAAATTGAGGTTGTTCATAGTCTGTAAATGTAGAGAATATATAGTGAAGATGCTGAAGTTTTTTTTTTTTCCACAGCGTATCCACTGCTTAGTCTGTTCTTCGTGGAGCAAAACAGTCAGTTCATCATAGGGTCTGGTGATGGACAGGTGAGTAACACACACACACTTTCAGCCTCTCTTTTGTAATCTATATATCACTTTGTTTATGTTGGAATCTCTTTGTGATTCAAGCTTTGGTGCTACACTCTCCCTGTGGACCACAAATGCCGCTTGGTGACAAAACTGGACCTTTCGAAGCTGGAACAGAAGCATGAGAGAAACCTCAGAAAAACCAGCTCACCTCAAAATAGACCAGATGGTTAGAGAAAAAAAAACACAAGCCACAATTCAGACTGCGCATAACTACTGTTTTTCATGTGCCTACCTCACTGCGGAAAAAGATACATCTGCTTCAAGTGGAAAAGATCTCACTGAGCTTCATCTGTGTGCTTTTATAGGAATGACTGGTAATGAAGTGAGAGGAACAGTGGAGACAGCAAAGCCTGTTCTGAAAATCTGGGCACAGAAACTGCAGTCCAGTCATGCTAGCCTTCAGCAGAGGTACTGTCTTTGGTCTGTTTTTGTTGTTCACCTTTATCTGCTTGAGCACTTGTTGAAG